TAATCCATCTGTGATACCGAAATATGGGATGCTCTTAAATCTAATTTGCTTAAATTTTGTCTTCATTTCGCTTTTGGACCTGGCGAAGTCAAGTAATTTTTAAATGTTTGGCCTTTAATTGAACAAAATGACATTTCGGAGGCCTTAACCACCGTTCATACCATTTCTCTCGGTCGAAGTTAAAATTATCCCCATCTCAAAATATCATTCAATGGAATTTGCGATGATATGAAAAGCTAGTATTATGGATTGATAACACCAGTGTACACATAATATTTCCCTTTTCATATATTCTCTGCCTTGCATTCATAATTCATTGGATATTATTGGAGTTTAATACTTTCAATTATTGGAGTTTAATACTTTCAATTACAATCATCACTGTGAATAAATATCGTCTCCGGAACCAGTCTGACCCAGTCTGACCTCAATCTATAACTGGTTCGATCCAATTCGACCTTAGTCTAGAATCAGCTCAATCAGTCCGACCTTGGTATTTTATTGACTATCATAATTCTCTGAATTCCTGACCATAAATCTGGAACATAGAATGAACCGTTTCTCCGATGGTCAAAACGATTGTGTTTGGTATCCAGTTAACATGGTGTACTTATTTCGACGTTATGTTTATGATCCACCATAAATCGTTCAGAATATTTATTTTCTACGAGTGAAACAAATAACATTTCTAGCATGTCCAACATAGCTCTAGTTAGATTATATAAACCACCCTTTGCATTTTCGTCAATGCAACTTGAAGACGAAAAAATTTTGTAAAAATGATGATTAAGTTACGGTATCTAGATCAAATTCCAAATGTTGCCACCAGTTCGAATGATTGTGCCAGCTTAGAACACTGTGAAATTAATGCCTTGCAGTAAGTCGAGTACAATAATAAGTCATCTTAATTAATTTCGGTGTGACACCATCATTATCATAATTATCATCGGTTATCACATCAGACACCGTCTATTTAGGTCTGCTCGTTTATTTCACTTCAAACACGTTTTTAAATATTTCATAAAATTCACATTTCAGGAGGGTTTTTTTTTAGGTATTCCCAGTTTCTTATTTTCGATCCATACATTAATAATATTGAATCAAAGGTTTATTGTTACCCCTGGAATGTTTGCGAGAATGAAAGGATGGACGATCTCAACATAATATGAAGTTCAAAGGTCTGGCCAGATTCAGAGTAGCCAAAAATCCCTTCCACAATACATTATGTCTCGTATCCCTTTTCTAAGTTTCTGGAAGATGTAATGTAATCCTTTACAATGACTAAATTTCAGATAATTTTAATTCGATTTTTTTTTTTGATGAATTTATTAATTTAAAATCATTCACTTTATTTTTCATCTTCTCATTTTCATTAAATAAGTACATGTGCCCAACGTTCAACGTGCTTTCTTGTCGGTTATATTCGCTCATACCATCCTTATCAACAATTTTTCCGTCTTCGATTTTTTGTTCACAAATCGATTGGTGCCAATGTATGAATGAAGAACTGGCTGTTCCAGCCGGTGGTTCGTATCGTTCCTCAATTTACTTAGCATTTCTGCCTTTCCTCAGTGAAAGTTGTAGTTGTGGTGTGAGTCAACAATTTATTTTTGAGACGTTTGAGACTGCAAGTATCATTCATCCTATTTGGCATATTAGCAATGATACAGGTATCATGCGTGATATGTTAGCAATGATACGGGTATCATGCGTGATATGTTAGCAATGATACGGGTATCATGCGTGATATGTTAGCAATGATACGGGTATCATGCGTGATATGTTAGCAATGATACGGGTATCATGCGTGATATGTTAGCAATGATACGGGCAAGTACCATGTATGATGTGTGGTACGAATAAGTACCGAGTAAGTTGATGTATTAGCAGTGATACGAGTACGTACCATACTATATTTTATTATCAGTGCATGAATAGATACTTTGTAATAATGCATAAACAAATGAAAAAAAAAGATGCAAATGACACTTTAACCAGGGAACGAAATGAATGAAAAAGTTTAACGACTGGCCATGTGAGTTTTGTTCAGGAAGCTTTTGTACGGCCATATCTGACATATGCTAAGTGATATGGTTGATGAGAATCGCTTTACACTAAATAATTATAAATATGTTAGGTAACGATCAGAAGTAAATGATTATGACAGGGCAAGAAATTAATATTTAATCGAGTCTTATATCTTTGAAGCACATTTATCACGTATAATCGTCGCAATATGACGTTCTGCCTCCTCCTTCTTCCTTTGAGAAACAGTAGTTGAAATTTAGCATCTAGCATCCTATATGTACTTGAATTTCAATAACTGATATCGTAGTCGGAAAATTTCTCCACTCGCAGTGGGTTAAAAGGCAAACTTGAGTGGGACACTTCAGGGTACGTCTTGCATAGCGCACTTATTTCGAAAGATGTAGATTTGATGTCAGTGTTTTGGTTTGCGGGAGTGGTTATTCTTTTTTTTTTGTGCGAGTCATCACAGCATAAATCACCACGAATTTGTGACAAAACGCCAATGGAATGACTGTTTACAGAATGGAGGGAAGGGAAGACTTTTAGAGTGGGAGATTCTTTTCCTAAACTTTCCGAAATACTCAGTGCTAAAGCCATTCTTTCCCTTCAAGTTTGTCGAATTCTTTGGTTGTAATATTCCGAATTTTTCCAGAAACCGTTATGGACAATGAAGAGACGGTAACAAAAGAAAATGAATTCAAGGAATGTCTAGAATTGTGCCAGAGAGGTGTAAAGATGTGTCGGATCAAAGCGGGTCGCTTGATGACATCTCAAAATGTCTACGTGGAAGATCAGAAATGGCTGTGCTATCATTCAAATGTCTGTTGGAAGTTTGTGCCGTTGAAACTGAAGTCTAGTAAGTTGGTAGTTTTTTGAATTGGCTTAGAATTAGTAATGCGCATTACAATTTTATCTTTTCGTTAACTTGCCTGATATCCACCGGTTCCATTTTCACACTGACAACACTCTGTTACGTGTTATATTTCATTTTCACACTGACAACACCCTGTTACGTGTTGTACTTATCTGTACTATGGGTAGCTTGTACTGTAGGTAACTTTCGAAAACTTAAGAAGGTGATTTGTGCTATATTAAAGCGAACCTCGTCGATCCAAATTCTATTACTTTTCATGGAAGGAAAACCATGCTAAAGAGCCCTTTCCGTTGGTTCTTCGATGTTGGAAGGTATTTTACTGGTTTAAACAAACCACTATATATATCCATCCATACTTTGATTTTAAAGTGGGACGAAAATTTTTCAACTTTCCAAAAAATATGCAGCACAACTTGCCATTTTTCAGTAAATATTGATAATATTCTGGAGGTGCGAAAAGGATTCAGTTCTGATAACCTTCACAAAGCTTCCAAGAAATATTCTTTTCGAGAAAAAGTTACGGTTAGGTTTTATTTTTCTATGGTTCATAGTTGGTCTGAGCGTTAAATATGAATATTTATGCTCGTATTTACTTATTTGAATGCATGTACGTGAACATTCAAAGTATTTGATTTAATACGAAACAAAAGTGATTTTCAACTTTAAATTACGATGCATACTTATGGTTCTCATACAAGATTGAATATATACAAATTTTTATAGTTTCTTACTAGTGAGAGTCACCCTGGGCGCGTTATTCATACTGACTGTTTATTTCTGTTAAATGTGTAGAGAAATCTTTCCACAGCCTTGAAACTTGCACAGCAGTATGCTGAAATGTAAAATGAAGATTCATTACTTCTTCAGACTCTATCTGCTGACACTCATTAGTCAACAACACGTGAATGTCCTGAGAGTCTCATTTATTGATCCCATCCCTCTATTTTAAATTTTGCTGGCAGTTTTTTTTCTGGATATTCAGCAAATAAAAATTGAAGGCAGAAATGTGTTTGTCTGTAATCTTAACTCATCGACGTATGCTCCACAAATCGGTTGATTTTGCTGCTGAAAATCTATCTGTGAGAGATAAATTTGTGAAAGGTTTGCAATATCTTGTCGATAAGAAAAATCAGAAACGCGTGCATTTTGATGAAGAGCGCTGGCTTTTGGACAATTTCCGAAAAGCTGATATAAACAAAGATGGTCAGTTGATTTGTATTTTTCCGAAATGCGTTAAATTATTGATCCCACAAAAAGTCAAAAGGAACCCATTGCTTAAGGGGAAAAGTGATAATGGCAGTCTTGATGGAAATTAACCCCTAATTTTTGTTTAAGTTTAAAGGAAATTAGAGTATTAATAATCTAGTCCATGAAGAATACTGATAATCTAATCTGAAGGTGAATCAACTGGTATAGTTCAGTTGGTGTCGTGAACTTTCGATGATTTCTATATAATATAAGGCACAGCACAGTGCAACAGTCTTGGGAACTGCGATTATTTATTTCATAACATGTGTAATGGAGGTGCATAACAACTCATTTCAGGCAGCTTAAGTTTTGATGAAATATTGAAGCTGCTGAAAACGCTGAATCTGCAGATCAGTAACAAATATGCACGTGCTTTGTACACGGTCATTTTTCAAAAGGCTCATAAATGAATGATTTATGTCCAAATTCGTTATTTTTTCTCCAGATTTGCGCCAGTGGAGTTCACGTCCGTTTCTCTTTATGATTGTTCTTTACAACCGTTCAACATTTTTGGATCCGAATTTGAGGGAATAATCAGATGTCATTCCAATTTGCCGTTTTTTTTCTACAGATTCATCTCTCCTGCAGTTGATGTGCTTGTCGGTATCTTTGAATTTTCGGGCAATGTAAATAGTGTTCTAACTTTTTCAGCAAGCAGATTCTTTTGGCAAAAATGATGGGAAACTCGACGAAAAAGAATTCCTTAAGTTCTTCTCCCATCTAACAGACCGTCCGGATCTGGAACATGCAATGAGGATGTTCAGTGCGACCAGTGACCTAGCTTTTTCTGCTTTCGATCTGAAAACATTTTTAACAACCGAACAAGAGGTATTCCACAGCACATTCATTTCATATACTTAATATACGTTTTTATTTTCGGTTCATTAAAAAATTGGAAGCGCGACACACAATCTCAGGGCAGCGCATGCATTTTGAGAATTTTTTTTAAAATATAGTTTGGGCTAGAAAAAAAAAAGGATTTGATCAGTAGACTATATTTACAGTTCGATGATATTGATGAAAATAAGGCTGCATCAATTATCGACAGTTTTGAATCAGCAAAGCAAGGCGCAAAAATACTTGGACCCATAGGTAGTGCAACCTGAATTTTTCATGCCAGTTCGTCTCATTTCCTGGAATTATTATCCTAATGCATGGAATTTAGCAATTATACACTAGATAATTCGACCAACAATCTTGACTGTTGCCTGACGAAAAATGCTATGACTTGTGATGCTTCATAGTGTGATATACATCTCAGAACATCCAGTTAAGTTTTTTTTTTATTTTAAACACCAGCAAAAAAGTCATTAAAGAAAAGGTGGAATCTACACATGTTGCTATTCAAGTATAAATCAGTTTGCAAGCTGATTCGTTATTAGAGTCAGTTGTAAGAATTCTGAATCATTTTCAGGTTTTCGTTGGTTACTGCTCGGTAAATGGGGCAACATCATGAAGCCTGGGCATGAGGGAGTTTTCCAAGACATGGATCATACATTAAGTCATTATTATGTCAGCTCAAGTCACAATACCTATCTCACTGGATTGCAAATAAAGGGTGAAGCAACCGTTGAAGGTTATATCAACGCGCTAAAAAAGGGTGTACGGCTTTTAGAATGTAAATATTATTACATTTTTACTGTAGACTTAGCTAAGTTTCAATTTAAATGATTACATAATTTTCAAATTTGAGATTAAGTTGTACCTTCTTCAGTAGATGTTTTTGATGGCGAAGAAGGAGAGCCATGTATTACGCACAAACGTACTTTTATCAGAACGATTACGCTGAAAGATGTATTGAAAGAAATTGATGCGTATGCTTTTAAAGCAAACCCTTATCCAGTAATACTGACTATCGAGAATCATGTTGGCTTGCCGCAACAGAAGGCAATGTCGCGCATCTTTAAAGAAGTTAGTTTTAACCGTGAAGATGTTTTTACGTACTGCTCTTTGATTTAATATATTTATGTTCACTTTCACTCGAAATGTTCATTTTTTGCTTCTTACCGGAGCTATACATTTAGGTGTTAGGCGACAAAATATATATGCGCCCAAAAAATGGAGCTTCTCAACCTTTACCTTCTCCAAATGCTTTGAAGAATAAATATCTGTTGCGCGGCAAAAAATTGAGATCAGAACAAGGTCCTGATCGAAAATTTGATCAAGATAGTGACGAAATAATCCAAGATAGCAAGGAAAGTAAAGACACCATCAAACTCGACCCAGAATTTTCTGAACTGATATCGCTGCCATCTGTTAAACTTTCGCGTAATATCTTCAAAGATATCGATGAACGTCAGTTTTTATTTTGCATTTCAAGTACTGGTTGTTAATAAAAAAAAAAAAAAAGAGAAAACAAGCTAGAAAGGCTTGAATAATTTGTTTTCAAGTTTGGTATCTAGCAAACGCTTTATTTCTATGTCTGTAAGCGAGCTAACTTGTAAACAGTCGTTTTGGAATCCATTCAATATCGAAATTATAAAAAACAAAGTCCGAACTGTCTTTAGATCCAATGGACGGTTCTTCTTCTTTATCCGAAGGGAAGGTTGCAAATTATATGGAAAGCGGTTATTCGCTTGCCGCTTATACATCAAAAAGGTTTGTGAAATCGTTCCCAAAAGGTATGCGGCAGGATTCAAGCAATATGGATCCCATCCCTTCATGGCTTTGCGGTGTACAGTCGGTCGCAATGAATATGCAGACTACTGGGGAATATCTCGATTTAGTTAATGGTCTCTTTCGAACTAATGGTAATTGTGGTTACGTGCTCAAATCGAAGACACTTATTGATGGACTTGGTTAGTTTCTTTTTTCTTGAAATATATTTTTATAAATATAAGGATTTAGGATGAAAGTAAAAACGAGCACCTTGTCAAGATTAAGAGTGTCACGTGCATCTTGAACTACGTTAGAAGTTGGGACCATATTCTTCAATCGAAAGCTCTGGAAGTCGCCAAAATTAGGGAATGAACACCATGTGTTGCATTAACTTTCGTTTTATTGGTCCGCGGTCCACTAGTCGAATAACTCGACTAAATGGACGCATCTGAACTTCAGCAAAATGGAAGTGTTTCGTTTTTCAGATCCGCGTATGCCTGAAGTATCGAGTGCAGTTGTAACAACGATGCTGGTTGGGGTAGGCTACTTTTGCAACTTTTCACGATTATTAATACGGTTTTAATTATAATCAGTTGTTTTAACAATTGATATTTGTTCAATAAAAATATGTGATTTCAGTGCACGGTTTTTTGCAGAGTTGATTTATTGATTGTCTTATTTATCGCTTTGGTTCTGTTAAATATCCAGTTTCATTTCCAAATACAAAAAAAAAATGCTTTGGAAAATATAACAGATTATGTTTCATACATAAAATATAGTGAAATATCATGCGTGGACTAGCACATCCATGTTCTTCGAGTTTCAGGTCATAAGTGGGCAATATTTACCCATGATATCTCAAGCAAACGATGTTGTCGATCCATATGTGACCGTTGAGATCTTTGGAATTCCGGCCGATTCCCGGAAATTCCGAACAAAAACCATCCGCAATAATGGGTGCGTGTTTTTGCCATGATTTTTTCTTGTCTTCAGTGTTTTAACAAAAAATTAGCGGAAAAAGTATTGCCTATTATTTCCGCATGTCTGAAAATCGTAATTCTCAAATGTACATGGCTAATCAACAAGTTCAAATCTTTTGTTTGTTTGTTTGCATGTGGAAGCTGTAAAAACTCTGAAACTTATGTCTTTGATCCAAGTGTTTTTGAGGTTATATGTTTCAGCTTTAACCCACAGTTCAACGAAACTTTTACATTTCCGCTTCATTTCCCTGATTTTGCACTGCTCCGTTTCTGTGTTAAAGACTTCGACTCAACTTCAGCAAACGATTTTGTTGGTGAATATACAATCCCGGTAAAAAGTATTCGTGCAGGTTTGAAACTTCATTCATCACTTTGAAATGTTAGTTAATAGACATCGATATAAAATAACCACTTCTAACCCGTTGGTAGATTAAATGAATTGGTGTGACAACTAGCATTACGAATCTCTTTACCTTTTTATGAGATTTATGCATGAATGTATATATGGTATACGGTCATTTCACCAGAGAGGAGTTGTACGCTGTCTTGAAGGAACAAGATGCCTGGTTTATCTTGATGATCGAAAAAAAGTACACACAGAACCACATTTAGGCTACTCACATATACGACTGAATACGGGCAATTTGCGTACAGTGGACGAATGTGCGTCACTTTTTGTACGAATCGCACTTGAATGAATTTATTGCTTCATTGTATATACATATGCATGTGTATATCAACACGAGCATCATTTACCCTAAGAAGTTCAATTTTCCAATTGCATATTTTCCAAAATAAATGCTTAAATCAATTGCTTCTTCTCGTTCATAATCTCTTTCAAACGGTTCAGCGAATTTCTCTTATCACTTCTCACTTTTATTTGCTTCCCTGCTGTAGCAGAAATAGATTCCCCTAATCAGATCCATCACCTGTTAGTCCAACATAATCTTTTTTTTCCTCTCATGACATCGGATCCGCTGCGGCGCATATATTCTATATGCTCACTTGAGCTGACCTTGAGGTGCAACAATATAACCAAAGAACCATCCTAAATAATGGATCCTCCAATGCATTTCAAATGTATATGCAGAAATGATTGGGAGATTAATTCTTGGGAAAAGTATCAACTCCTATAATAACTTTTCGTAAGTTTGCATAACGAAAATGAGATCCGTTTATAAGAAATGCTTGGTAATTTTGTCTAATCATGGTTGCTGTACATGACAAATGTATTTTGCTATAATTGAACAATTTAAATCAAAAATTATTTAGCATATTTTATACATCGGAATCCGATTTAAAATAATACATCATAAGCGTAATAGGAACTGAACTATGACGCCAAAACAGGGGATTTTGATCCAGATTAAGACTGAAAGTGTTCCCGAGCAAACAAAATCCCTAGTAAGCAAATATTTAATTACTACAATCGAGGTGAGAAACTCAGATATGTAAATACCTAATTGGTAGGAATGGGATGGCACAAAACTTATGACATTGCAAATGCCTGTAGCTTTATCAGAGAAAAAGTACGCCGAAAGGTACCCAGTTCCTAACACTCCCAGTTAAAGAGGTTCCATATGATAATGAGTTGTCTAATGGTACTCATCGCTTTGAGTTGGCGATTGTCCCGCGGGCTACTGTAAGTCAAAAGGAAGAAAAGAACTTCGCAGTGCTTTAAACTCGCACAACACCGTAATCAAATACGCGATGGAGTCCGTTAACAAAACCTCAAACTAGATCATACTTCATTAAATCGACAGTGCCGGTTCCAGTCCCCTAATCAGACTGAATATTACAAATGATAAGACGACACTACACAGCATGTAAGTTTAAGAAACTTAGACCAGAAGTAGGACAAGTATGGAAAGTTGAAATACACTTGAAAATAAGATGAGCAAGAGCACTACCGATCAAATAAGTCGGCAGCATACTGGATTAGTGATTCAAAAACACTTGTAAGTATCCCTTGTAAGGTCAAGAAATCAGAAAGGATGCTAATTGGACGAAGCATCAAGGGAACTGCTCCTTTTTACTTTTCACCACTTCTGCGAGATACTTAAATCTGAAAATGAAACAATTTTTTTATAGCTTGGAGCTAGCGAACAGGATCGTATTTTAAAACTGAAAAGTTCTAGAATCTAGCATTCACTACTTTTTTATTTTAATGGTGAAGAAGCTTCCTTAACATATGCACAATCTGGCATGGGCAGAGGAGTAAACAAGAGTAAGTTGAACACAAACAAAATGGTGAACTATTTAAAATGGTAACTGGAAAAACCCTGCAATCGAAATTCAGGTAAACATCCAAAACTGCCATGGAAAGACCAAGAGTTCTAAGCACTCCGTGGTTTTAACTTCTTCCTCATCGTCTTCCTTTCAACAGCCATGTTGTTGAACAGTGTTGAAAATAATTTACTAACCTCCTAATGCACTCTTTCTTTGATCGCCCTACAAAATTTGCAATATTTTCCCAACGGCTTGGATCTGATGAGGGAAATTTTTTGAGCGCCGCTTCAAGCAACTTTTGTTCTTCTGCATTCCACTCCAGTTCACTTCCTTTTGCCGAATTAACCAAGATATCCTTTACTTTTTTCTGATCCTGAGCGTTACTTAGAGATTTCAATGTTTTCACCTGAAACGAAGTGACTTCCAAACTCTTATAAAGTGTGGGAAACGAAATCACAGTACAATCAGAGCTTTCGAAGCGAGGCATACATGGTGTATCTTCAATAAATTATATTATTCATCCTGATAAATTTTTTAAAGACGTTATTTTGCAAAATGCTCTATTCGTTTCTGTGGGTACTAAATATAACCATCAGTAAAATGGAAAGGGATTTTTTTGAAACGTATTTCACGCTTTATAACATGTAAAACAAGACTATACCTCAAACTACTTATTTTCCTGAGGGCGCTACAAATGAAAAACTAAAATTGAATACCTGAACCAAGACATCTTTTTCTGTTTTCTTTTTTGCATTTTTATTTTCACGGTGTTCATTAACATAATTTGCAATTTCCGACCACCTGAAACACTTTTTCAATTGCACAAAACATAGTCACATCAATTCTTTTGAAGAGTTCTACATTACGCCCGACTTCAACATTCTATTTTCAACACCTATTCGTAATTTACAGCATTACACAATGTCAAGAAAAAAGTTCAAGGCAAGAAATTGAGAATTGAAGTAAAGCAAAAATGTGAGTTTCAACCTTTTGGTGGTGCCAACAGGATACAAAGTAGTAGCTTTGACTAGTAACGTAATTTCATCCGCGGACCAACGAGGCATACTATCTGCAGTATTCTCAGAAACTCCGTCTTTCGTTTCGACACTCTCCGGAACTTCTTTATGAATCTGAAACTCAGAGTTTCATAAAACAGGCTATAGCCCAAATGGCTTACTACTTTCTTTCTGAAGTCTTATCTGTATAACTAGAAAAGATAATTTAAGTGAACAAAATGCACCATCCTACTTTACATCACCATGTATTGTAACGGGTAAAAGGGGATCACACTTCATATCAGTGAAATCTGTTTCAAATAAATATGCGTACCTGAACGTTTAAAGTGTTCATTGCTTCTGTGAGACTGCCTAACAATTCAAGCTTAGCAGTGATTTCATTCAAACGAACTGCATCGAATCGCAAGCAGACATGTTCAATGGCTTCCAGACAAGACAACTTCGATGAAACATCTGCATCCCAGTAATTCTTACCCTAAGCATTGCAGTTTTTTCCTCAAAAGTACTTTTTTGGTTAACAGTGTCAGGTAATCATTTAGTGCTGCTTCCTCATAATGGCGCTTACCGCATATGGGCACGCATAAAGGAGGAGGCTCATGGCACAAGTCATAAAACCTCTAATTTATTCCGCTCACTCGTTTTGCAATTTTAAACACTCGTTTTATCTGAACAACATCGGCTATTTCTTCCCAGTTTCTCTGAAGCACCCTTCTTATATGTGCAAGCGTTGCTACTATCATACCAGTAATCAAAGCAGAGTTTTCCGAGGAATCAGATTCAAGAAATGTTCTTACAACATGACGAATTCAATGCAACAAACCTCAGCAGTTCTACGGAGCTTTCTTCGAGCTTCACCAAGCAGTTTTTTCTGCTGCTCCTTTATCCGCTTTTCGTGAGCCCGTTGCTGCCGTTCTTTTTCTAATTGTTCCTCCTCTATTTTTTTATTTTCCAATTCAATTTCCTGAAAAAGGGCCTGTAAAGTTACTTACTTTACTCTTTGCAAAGACACTACCATTTACTGAATCTCAGACCAGACATTACCAATTTCTTCTTCTCATCCTGGGCTTTTTTTTCCTCCAAAGCCTTCTTACGTTCGTCCCTTTGTTTTTCCTTTTTCAATTTTTCTTGCTCCTTGAACACTGCTATTCGCGGATCTTTACGGTACGCCATTTCAACAAGATTTCTGATTCGTTTCATTTCATTCTTACGCCGTTTCTCTCGCTCAATCTAGTCAAAACCATTTAAAATTTATATGTACTTCGTAATTTGGGAATAGGAAATTGATATGTATACTTATGTTAACTAATAGAAAGAGATGTAAAGAGAACTTTTGAATAAATAATTTAAATGCAATATGGTAATGACGATAAGCTGCCTTGTGCTCGAAATGCACGTACAAATATTTGGTACTTCTTTACATCCGGGACTTTTCCTAACCAGAGTCATATTCTGAAGTATTTCAACTTGATACTTATCCAAAAAGTAAATATTAACCTTATTTATCTTCTCAATTTCACGTCTTTCCCATCGATCTTCCCCCTTCTCCTTATCCTCTTCGTCCAGATACGAGAATTCACGCCAAGAATCCCAGTTAAACCAAAACGAGTAAAACCTATCCACCTCAGCTTGTACACTATTGACATCGCCTAGTAATGGTACCGGTTGACGAACAGACCATCTAAAACTGATAGAAATCCATAATTCCTCATATGGCGCACAATTTTTCATTTACTTCACAACAAAGTCGTGAATAAATTTCAAATGAAGACACAACAATGTTCCTTTGCTTCATCGATTTCAGAACAGCCAATGTTAAGTACTAAATTTCTACCATAAAAATACTTGTCTTCAAGTCCAGACACCAACAAAATCTTATCGAAATGTTCAAACATTTGTGAAAATGAAATAGCGAAGAAATGTTCCCACCAGTTAATTCCCACGCTAATGAAGTTGTAAGAATCCTCGAGATCAAGTAAATACTTTACCCAAAAAAGTAGAATAGTAATTCCTATTTGCTTAAATACTACACAGAAAATTATTTTTCTTGACGGCGCAAGAATGCTGTTGCCACATTACAGTTTCATATACACATTAAAAGTTACGAATCCATAATACGTTTTTCACAATTTACTTCCGGAATACAGATCTTATATTACCCAGCAGTAAAAAAAAAGTCAAAACTTTACTGTCACAACAGTAAAGTTTCAATGATTTGAAGAAAAAAAGAGGTAAAATCATTTAAGAACCTTGCATTCCTAATGAAGACCGGCGTCAGAACATCGTAAAAGTTGTCAGAACTGATCATTTTCTCGTCTGGGACCGAATCATCGAATAAAGGGTCTACAGAATCATATGCTCTTCTTTTTTGTTCCGATAATCCCAGTTGCTCATAAGCCTTGGTAATACATGTGAAATAATCTTCACCACCACCGTCTTCAATTCTAACCGCATTGTTCTTATCCGGATGATGCTTCAGCACTTTGGCACGATCTGCAGAGATCCCGCATCAGGGATAACAAAGATAAAAAAATAGATGAATAAAAACAAAAACATCACTTCACAAATTCAAATAAATTTCAGCTTCGAATTCTCCGGCATCTTAAGGTACTAAGACGATCTACGCAGTGCTACACAGGCAATAATAAGTTTATATAGAAAGCCGCAAGTCAGAAAAGTTTTGGATTTTGTCAAATATTATCAGGATACAAATCAGAAAGAGTAGACCAAGCTGAACAATAACTAACTGCGGCAGTGAGTTTGAATTCAACCCGAAAATTTGAGACTCTGAAATCATAATGAAGAAATCACAGGTCTTTTATAACTTACAAGCAGTACGAATCTGCGAAGTACTGGCCTGCCAGCGTAAGTTTGATAATCCAAGGACTTTGTAATGGTCTTGATCCTTGCAATGTTTTGGATTCAAATTTTTCAAAAAACTGAGATACTCCTCGTCATCCGGATCCATAAATTCGTTCACTGCCTGAATTCATATTGTTTCGTTTATTTGAAAACACGACACTGATAATGAATTAAACCAATTTTTTGCATTGAATCTTGTTGTTAAAGTAAAACGTACGTAGATTCCATTGCCTTCCGCACTGTCCACATTCGTCCAATCATTAAGACGTTCAGTGGTTAATGACTGTTTCAAGACAGGTTCAGTGCTCAGACCAAGTGTTCGTTTATCGCGAACAATGCGTAATTCGTACGAAATCCCTGCTTTTTCTACCTTCCTATTACTCTGATTAAATCCATAAACGGCTAAATCTAGCCCTGATAATGACATTGTAGGCCTGTAAAACATACACACATTATAAGAAAACTGAAATTTTGAACCATATGGGCAGTGCAAACAGGTTGAAAAGAATAAACTAGAATGTCGACTATGTCCGTTCCCCGTGGCAGAGCATCACGGACTTTCGTCATTATTTCCGAAAGGTTCTCTTTTTGGAATTACTTTTCCCAAATAACACAATCAGATAATATCCGGATTAATGAGACAAAAAAGTTACCAAGCATCGGGTAAGAGATAAGAAAACTGAAGTGGTAAAGTGTTCTCCCTAACTTATAGAAACAAATAGAATCCTTTAGGTTAGAATGAAACCCTCTGTCTCGTGGTCCGGACTACGTTTCCGGTTATCTCATGCGAAATAAATCCCTACTCGACACAAACGCAATATACCATTCCATAATAGTCCTGTGAAAAGTACATTGTATCACAGGAATTCTGTTTGTGGTCTGTTTTCCATTTTACGAGCTACGCAGTGGTCTGTTAAATGCGGATTGCCATGGGGATGGTGTGCTATTAACCGTCTGACATTTGTTCTTGAGATTGAGTGTCGTCGTTGTCGGTTTACTTTATTCGTATATCAGTTTATCATTTATTCTCTGTCTTTACTTATTTTGATGAATTAAGTTAATGGTAAGCGACAAAACAGTGATTGGATAGTAAGCGAACAAAGAAGAGGAAGAAATAGTGTATTATTGTACGGAATGTATGAGATTCTTTACTTCCTAAAACAATTTTTAGTTGTTTTAAATAGTAAACGACTTTCCTGACGTTCTAGCATTTCATAGAATGGCGTGTAATAGGCATGCTAGCACTGCCTATTAAAATCGTTTTGCTTGATGAACGAAGGTTGAAGTATGAAGGAATGAAACATTATTTTGTAAGGGAAGTAGAGAAACAAAGGTAAACGGAAACGGAATTACTCGCCAGTGTTAGGACATCTGAGGTAACTGTTAGGAATTTTATTTTCCTTGAAATGCATAATTTATTTGCAGTAATGTACCTTCACAACTTCAACCGTCTTTTAACTTGTCAACAAGAATTAAATTGTAATTAGATCTTTGCAGGATAAATGAGAATTTATGCGTTGAGAACGGTTCTGTTTCAGTCATGTGCAGTTGGTACAAAGGGTTTATTACCCGTGAGAAGTTGTCATTCAGTTGGAGTAGAAAACTCCAAACTTATGAAAGGACCAGATGGTTTATCAGCACTCGATATTGTTAAGGAGTATGGCATACCAATTCAAAGAGTTTCATTGAGTCGTGGACTTGCACTGAATCGCTTTGAAAAAGTACTTTACCGTCTTATTATATTCTCGCAAACACTCAAGTAGTTGTAAATTTTGGTACCTTGCCTGACTGTTTTTTTGCAAATTTTGCCGAAATTTGCTTAGATCTGTCTGCTTTACTTTTTTTTACATAGCAAAACTTTTCTGCACAAGTTAAAAAGATTTGTTTTAAAGATTTTACTACTGTCTGCCTGCAGGTTTTATTACATCCCTCTAACTTCATCCTTTTGTTCTAGAATGAAGTTTTTGATAAAATCACAACTTCCTCACTTTCTGAAATCATTAACTTTATGTCGGATTTGCTCCTTAGTTAGCTCCAAATTTTCACTAAATGCCACCCATTGACACATAGTCATTTTATGAGGGTTATCCACCGAACATTACAGAAAATGAGTTTTGTTAGTTGAAAGGAAAAAATGAATTCTGAAAATTTTGTCAGTTAAACGATCCTGTTAGTTGAGTGGTTGTATCTTGCCTCACTTTTGCAAAATTAGCTTTTGCTGTTGCAGAACTTTCCAACAAATGAGCGACAGCAAAAAATTTTATCAGTTTTTATAAATTTCTTAATTTCTTATGTACTGCATGAAATTATCAATCTTTTTAAGGATTTCGTCATTTATCCGGAATATTCTGATACGGATGCAGCTGAGAGCACGCTGCAATTAGTGTCTGCACTCAAGAACGACATCAAAGCAGCGGGTTAGATAACAGGAATTATAACATCTAGGAAAAGTTTGGTGTACCGTATAAAACATTAAACACTTACATAATCAGTTTTCAGCAGGCCAGGAGGACTCTCTTATGGCTCTTTGGGACAAACACAAAATCTCTTCCTACACTGTTCCTAAGAAATACGGTATGTCATTTTGATTTAACATTTTATAAAAAGTGAAGGGAAAAAAGAAGTGCCGCTGGATATCACTCGCGTAAGTAGAGATAGCATGGGGATTCGAAATTGTTTTATCTTTTGTATTCATTTTGTTTCAACAAATATCACAACATTGAATAACAAAAAAAGATTTGATTTTCAATTTTAAAATTTCTGTCCCGGTAGCAATTTATTTAGAGTGAAAATATTCAGGTGGTGTCGATATGTGTTACAAAGATCTTTTGACTGTTTGTGAGGGATTAGGATCGCACTGGAGTTCTTATTTTCGTTTCGAACAAACTCATTTAGCTGCATCTCTTATTTTGCTGTACGGTAATGATCTGCAGAAGTCACATTATCTGCCGCAAATAGCATCGGGAGTAATTCGACCTGTAGTTGGTTTTTTCAGATCTGAAATGTTGGTGTTTTATTTTAAAATGCTCTCCGTTATTCCTTACAAGAAATTTATAACTTGTGGTACTTGCATAGATCCATCTAATCTATTGACATCTTCCGCAGATAATGTCTATTTTTTATTCAATAGGAAAAGATGATTCACATATGTTTTGATGGATGAGTTTTTTAATATTTTCAGGGATTCAGATGTGGAATCAGTGAGATCTTTATGTGAAATTACTAGTGAAAAACAAAAATTGGTTGCAACAAATCATTTTATCAGTGCATCAGATGCTAACTTGCTTCTCGTTTTTGCTAAGCAGGTTTAGTTCATTGGTCAAATATAAGTTTGAAACTCTTTGTTATTGTTTTGTTGGAAAAGCTTGTTTGAACTACGGGAAATACTTGTCTATTCATTGACGGTGAGAATGTCTTTGTAACTTGTGCCATTCACACATTTTACGTGCCATTAATTAGTTTTTCCCTGTCATTCTTACACTGGATTTGCTGCTGATGTTTTTCTTACTTAGATCCTATGTTTCTCCTTAAAACATTTCATTTAGCGTGATATTCATTGCTTTACTAGTGCAAAACTTGGTCTTTATAAGAAGAAATAAAGTAATTGGAACCTTTTTGCCATATTGCATGGTAACTATTTTCAGGATGGAAATAAGATAGTATGCTACCTTGTTGAAAGAAAAAGTGGCGACAGTACGTTTGAAATGAGGACGAAAACCTCTGTTTTTGGAAGAAATGGGTTGGAAGGTAAATACTTCTTTGAATCATTCGGGATGCTTTTCAAATATTCATTGAAGGTCTAGTTTGATGGGATTTCATAGCATTTCCAATTGTTTTTAATTATACTCACTGTTTTTTCTTTCCAGTCAATTTGGGGGATTTCAAGCAGATGAATGTGGAGCCAGGTTCGATGTTGGGAAAACCTGAAGATGGAAAAAAAATCTCACAGGAAACACTGGTAAAACGAATTACATTTGGTGCTGCCGTCGTAGGTTTCATGAAAACTTTAATAAGTATGTTATACATTATTTTTCTCTGTATATTTACCAGCATGAAAATAAATCAATTTCGTGATTTACTTATTCATTCGAAGTGCACAGCTCTATCGCGTTGCAGCGAAAGTTTTTACGGCTAGAAACATACACCAAAGCACGATGGGGTGTGAAGTGAACAATGTATCTCTAAGGCATCATTCATGAAGATACCTTGCCAAGCAAGACATCAAAAGGGATTGCTTCATTGCGTAAAGATTATTTGTAATTTTTAGATGCTTTATCAGAGTACTGCAACAGAACACTGCAGCAGAATTTGCCATTAGCAAAAAGGAATACTATCAAGGTGGGTGAGTACTTCTTATTACGTCATCTAGTGACTGTCTGTTCTAGTACATGCTTTCTGAATAAAAGACAAGATTGTTTACGTAAGAACATCAATTATTTTGTACTGTTAGTGGTACAATCGGTATTTAGCATTTGGTAACGAAACTTGCATTAAATACTTATGTGCTCGAATCAATGTGCTATTATGTTGGTGGTCTTCACGATGAAGAACTTATACTGTCGCTTGACGTTGAAGAAGCAGTAATACATGTGAGTTGTTCTAGTTTTATGGCTTTCAAGTTTCGTGAGATCCATTGTTATATCTAATTCTTGCCTGACCTACTTAGATTATTACCTAGATTCAATGGCTTGTCATTCGATTTCAGAATTTCTCACTCTTTGTAAAACGCGGTTAACTTTGCATATCGTGAGAACGTATTTCTCCTGCGAATTCAGTAACTAAAGTTATCCAGTCATATATTTGCGACTTGTTCTAAATGTTTCCCTTTGGCAATTTGAATTATAATTTTGTGGATTTCTATTTAGAAATATGCTAGGCATTTGCTTTCTGAAACGATATCGTCGACTATAGATATTATTCGAATGGATGCTGTTGCGTCTGGTATGAACTTCGACGAACTGCTTAATGAGATAATGGCAGCTCTTTTGCTTAGCAGTACTGAATTGGATCTTAAAAAATTTGTGGCGTCTCAAGTTATTGTATCATATGCAAACACTAATGCGGATAATATAAAGTTAATAAGTTTCTTTACCAGTTCGTTGTTTCTGTACAGGGTTATCGACTTAAGTAAAACTGTGTGGTTGGATCACGCATGTGTATTTAGTGAACTGGGTGTATAATTTCAGCTTTTGAACGTTTTGTTTAAATTTCAGACAGTGGCGTTCCTTTGATAAGCGCCTCTATGAGCGGATTTTTGGCCATGTCGAAAAAGCAATTTCATTTCATGACCCAAAGCTGCAACACTTTATCGCTGAGCACGCACATCCATCATTGAAAGTTTGCTTTTAGATGAGGCTACACGTTATTAGCGGATACTAATATGTTAGATTTGGTTTTTTGTAAATTAAAGGCTTTCTTGATGAGGATATAAAGTTTAGGGGATCGTATCTCAAATTTTCCCTTGTTTCCTTCTATTAGTATTATCATTTATTCATTTATTTGTTTACTTACTTATTCAGCCAATTAATTTATTAGTTATTAATTAATTGTTCTCAGTGCAGCGATTGCCCAAGTGTTGGAAAAATTGTAAGGTATGAATTAGATAATTAGTAGGTAAGGATGCGTCCTGAATTGTTAGGAATAGGTTACATAGATGCTTCTTTTTTTTTGCAGGAGGCATGCACTAATCTAGAACACACGATGTGGAGGTTGGATTCATTGCTTAATTTACTCCTTTCGAATCACGGAAAAAGCATCATACATGATCACAGTTTACTTGAAGCTCTTTCAAAAGTGATTGAATATAATTTTGGTATGGTTACAACTATAGCACGATCAAGCCGATCGTACTCGATTGGTCTACGAAACAGTGATCTTGAGGTACTTTAATGACATCAGATAGTGTTATCATTTTTTTAGTTTTCCGCGAAAGCCATCCGGTACACTTCTTCGCATATTAAGATTGGCAGATACTGGAAGGTTTCAAAACATTAGTCCAGTTCTTAGAAGACATAAGCAATCTAAGAAATTAGCAGTTACTTCTTAATAATGATAAGACTTCAAAACTTACATTATCGTTACAGCAATGTAGGCAGTTCTGTCTTCGACAATGACAACATTGGGTTTCTTCAAAACACTAATCTCCCCATCTTATTAGCAATAGAGAACGAGCTTCACTGAATGACTAAGCCATTCTTTTTGATTCTCGTAGTTATGCTATCGTTTACATTATTGCCTGAATTTTTCCGATTTTTAATTTTTAGTTCACAAAATATGAAAACTATGTTTAGATATCTTGGGCACAGCTGTACTGTTCTGAAGCAGCCAACATGTCAATGGCTGAATTGAGGAAGCTTTATGATTGTAAGTTATTCGTTTTTCACTACAATAATTTATAAATTAATCATTCAGTATGTCATTAGCGATGCCGAATGCTTATCGTTTGGTGAAGAATAATGTAGTGTAGTATTTTCTTTTAGTAAATAATATCCTGTTAAACCTTATGCAGCATTTTAATGCACCTCGGATGCATTCGATGCACTAGACAAACAATAAGTGTTTTTTCTTGTAAAGACTATGGTTGAGGTTATTTTCTTTACAATGGGTGAGGCTCAATAACTGCAAATGACAGATGAAGCATGAGAGAATGGGTGTCTAAAAAAATGGAACTTTTTACTTAGTCAAAAAACATGCTTTTAACATGACATCTATGTGGCTGATTATTAACAAGAACATCCAAAACTAGTTAAGCATTTCAAGTTTCAAGAAGCTGTTATGAATTTGAGTACCCAAAACATTGCAGATTTCCGATTTGAACGAACGAACTCTTTGCAATCCAAAATTGGAGAATCTGTTTTGGATACTGATGGATACTGCATTGAAAGTCCAATTACTCGAAATTGGTGATAATCCACGAATCAACTATTTCATTTTGTGTACTGATTGATACTGTCAAAGTTCTCCAAAGCAGTTCAGAATAAAGTTTCAAATTGAACCAGTTCACCTAGTTTTCCGGTGAATTTGGACTCGTAAAATTTAGCGATCCATATTCAAAAATTTAGTATCGGATTCATTTCATTTGGAAATATTGCGCTCTTCTATACCCCTTTAATTCTGCAAAGACTAGGCCTCAACAATATTCTAATATGAAAATGGGAAAAGCTGCCAAATAGCTTTATGATGCTCTCGAAAACCGAAACAGATAAAGCGATTTCAAGGACCAGATCACCAAGATATTTGTGTTGTAATATTGGACTTAATTGCTTTCATCCTCACAGACTAACTTCAAGTTTTGATTTATCTTCTTGTTGAAAAGTATGTCCCATCGGACCATCAAATAAATAGTCAACTGTGGTTGCTCGCCTACGTTTAAAAGAAAACAATTATAATATTTGAAATATGATTCGGCGCTAGCAGTTTTGAACTCATCGTTTGCGTAGTTCTATGTGAAATATATGTTTTGATACATGTCGCACGCAGTAGAAGATAACTGTATTTTTATATCACATTAATGGGTCAATTTAATCTTTCGTATGAGTTCTTTTTGAATGCTAATATCGCAGCGTTAGTAAAGGGAGGACAACCAAACATAACAAGTAGATCTGATGTAGGCTTTTCATCAAACGTTCTTTCTTGCAATCATATTTGCAAAGATTACGGACATTCATGCACAAAGAAATTAAACCTGCACAAATCCTCAAAACATGCACGGCCACGAACGATGTTAAAATGTTGTCATCTTACTTGGTGACGTCAGTATTCCTGTTCAAGACATTCTTAGCAGATGAGCTGGTAAGGGAACTAGAATCTCTGCATTGGGATTACGAGAATATGATCTCACAGACATTCAAAAGAACCCATTACCAACAATGACCGAAGCTCCTGAGTATGGAAAGTGGATTTCGTGACGAGAACCTGGATATAGGCTCTTTCGTTCTGGATGGTTCCTGGAACGATCCTTCATCCGACGGTAACGAACGTTGGCGCTTACTTTTCGAATTTGAATCATTTTGCATGTCCTCAGCAAGTCGAGTGGTTGGTTGAGAGGGAACGGAGGGAGAGGGTTGGGAGGGGTGGGTCTTTTTCTGAGATGTGTGTCTGTGCCCCATTGTTTTATTCCCGTTAATAGCAGAAAATCTCCTAATATATGCTGAAAGCACTATTTAGCAGCAATATTTTTAGGCATACTCAGTTCTGCTTATTATTCTTAGCTTTATCACAGTCCATCACTAATTTTTTATGCTGTTTTGGAGTGTCACTTTATTAGATTCACCACGAAGAATTTTTATCCGTTATCGGGGTGATTTTTCACCGGAATTTCTGAGCATTATGTAGAACAATACGATTCATAAAGTTTGAGGAAATTTTTTCGGCTGGATGAACTAAGCAGACGGAAGACGATTAACGTTTAAAGCTTCCTAAGACAATGTGAAGAGTCTAGACATTCGAGAAAATGCGTATTCTGCTGTAAAGATTTTCAACTTTTTAGCTGAACCTCGTGAACTTGCAGTCCTTTTTTGTGTATTTCAAAATTCAGGTCTTTATGTTCGATAGCTTTCTGAGGGTCAGAGGCAGTGGCTTTCTTTTTAAAGGAAGAAAAGGGGGAAGGAAGAAAAAGGCTGCAAGTCTGTAGAAGGTCAAGTTAAGGAATAGCTCCCACTCTCTATTAATGCGATAAGTTCCTGCGTCCAGAAATATTTGCCGTTTATATTCACTTGTTTTTCTTCTCCTGCCCCAAAAAGTATTTTTCTCAGGTATGATATTTGCTTGGGTAGGTTTAAACCACAATAAAAGAAATTTCAGTCTCCACTTCTTTTTCTCGGATGTTTCCTTAACATGTATTCAAGTTTTTGTTTCGTATTTATGCATTCCATATGACCTTTCTTTAAAAACAATCCAATTGCTGTTTGTTCTAGTTAGCGATGTCTACACCAGCTAATGCAGAAAATGAAGCTGCTGATAGAGAGAATATTGTGGCTAGCGAAAATGATACTTCTCCACCACCAGCAAAGGTAACGAAGATTGATCGAAGAGGGTCGGTGACATGTCATCCGCGAAAACATTTGGAAACGGTATGCTCGCAGGGATCTGAAGGATCAGATGAGGATTTGTCTGCTGGCGATGCTGTTAAGCCTTTGAGTACAGATAGTGATCGAAGCGATTCACCTGCGGCTGAGTCCGATCGTATCACTCCTGTCCCGAAGTTCGAGTACAATGATTCTGATTCCAGCGACGAGGGGACGCAGCTCGCTTCAGATCGTGGAGATCTCCTGAAGGATGTGGAAAATATCACCGAGTCGTCGGACTCATCGGGTCATTCGCCTGAACATACCAAACATGAGGAGTCGTGTGGCTTGCATTGTGATCGGAGCAGTCCACCGGCTTGTGGCGAACTACCTGAATCCAGCAAAGGACCTGTACGTTTCCACTAATCTCCATTAGATTCACTAGAAGTTCTGTTTCTTTTCATTTAAATGAGAACCAAACCGTTCACTAGTTCTTTAGCGGAGAGAAATTTCAAGTCACTGTTTGCTTAAATTAGGGTACCATTCAATTGCATAACTGGAAATCATTCTGTATTTAATCGCAGTTTGTACTGCATTGGCTATTTAATGAAAAATGGTTGCTCTTCCAAATTCTTTCGAAATATCATTGGAGTGTAGATATAGAAGATACGGAACTTAATTCATACAAATCTTCATTTTCATTTCGTCCAATGATTTTTCACTACATGTCTGTTGTATTTGTTTTCCAGACGACGCCATGCTCTCCGCAGGCGGATCGTGTCACCAGCCTGCGCAAACGGATGGCGGTACGTTTGTGGATTGTTTTAAATTTCTTTACAAAATTAGGTAGCGAAAACATCCATTTCGACTTGAAAAGCATTATTACGAGGCCATAGCTAAAGGAACTTTCTCTTATCGCTAGCATTACTGTAAAAATCGTTCAGTGAATAGTAGGAGGGGTAAAAGAAGTGGGAGAGAAAATAAGCTAATGAGATCGATCTCTCGATCTGCATGGTTAGTCTCAATTATCAAGGTTTCTCAACAAAATTTGATAGGGAAAAAACTGTTCTATTTTCGAGAGTTACTTATGCTTTATTACGTCAGAAATCATATTATTTCAGGTTTATTCTCCCAGCGATAACATATTGTCACCATGCACGATGAAGCTCAACCGACTGAAGAACTTTTTCCGCATGCGACAAAAGACTAGAGCTTTGTCACTGTTGTCCGCTGAAGAGCTGAGTGAGGAAAATGATGGCGCGGATGATGATGAAGTGGAGGGTATTGCCACTGGTGAAGCGGATATACCTGCAGATGATGAAGTGGATAAATCCGGTGACGAGGATATTGCTTTAACAGAAAGCCAGGAAGGTTCTGATCATGATGATATCTAACTTCCTCTACAGTTTTACTTATGGGCCTCATTAAGCTCATGTACAATCATACCGTTTTACTCTTATTCTTAAACTGAATCCAAACTCATGTGTTTACCTATCGTTACAACAGGCACCCTTCAACGGGGATGTTTAAGTTGTTTTTTGCATTTCAACTTTCTGGTATTTTGTCTACAATCCCTTTCACCCTCTCAATTCCTTCTCTACACTTTTTAATTCATGCACTGCTTATGCTGTTTAGTTAGACATACGGAATGAATCCTTGATGCGTTACACAACCTTATTGATCATGATGATGTGTAACTTCTCAATCTTGTGCATCACTTTTGCACTTCATCTCTCATGTATAATAGTAGCGTTTTAATCATCTCCTTAATCTAGACCGAAATTCGTGTGTTCATTATACTGTTACCGAAAGGAATCTTTTAACAGGAATGTTTAAGTTGCTTTTGTTCTCTGTACGTTTCAATTTGTTTTCTGCATTTTCTCAATCATAATTATTCGCCTCCTTTTTTCCCTTCTCCTTACGGAATGAAAAATTCTTAATATGCTGTATAACATTCCGTTCTATTATATCTTGGTTCTATTTTTTAATTTTTTCTGCGGATAGAGCGTAAATTTCTCTCCACTTGATAACCACTACCTTTATCTTTACGCTTATTGCTTATCCCCTTCTTGAGATCGCTCTTTACTTCCCGTCGTCTTACTCTTTACTCCGAATTTTTCAGACAGTTGACTTTTAAAATCTATTCTGTGAAAATGCGTTTTCTAACAGCATTATCAATAAAGGCTGAGTTATATTTGATTTCGACAATTCATACAAGTTTCTATAATTCGGAAGTTACCAGACGTAAGATTCCACTTCCATCCCAAGGTAGTCAATAGTGATCAAATGATGCCAATTATAGAAACAAACGAAGTCTAACATGATCAAAGAGATTCTTTAGACATAGCGGGAGATTTCAGTTCAGTGATGTATCGGCTGACGACGCACGTAAGGATTTTATTCGAGTTTCCTAGAACACTTCATAACTATCGGCAGTATGACATTCGGAGGTATGCAAAAGAACTACAACAAGAATGTAAGTTTGGGAATGTTCATTTGTACGTCAGAGTGTACAACTGATTGTGGGATACATGAGTGATAAAGATGAGATGAACAAAAACAATAACGAAGTGCACGGGAAATGTAGGAGTCTAGATAGGGGCAACAGTGGTAGGAATGATCTAAGTCATTAAGCAAGTTGCACTTGAAAGAAAATGACAGAATTGACATGCAAAAAAAAAGGTCTTAAGGATAACAAAATCGTGCCATACAATAAAATATACATTGGGAAAGAACTATACAATCTGCCTGGGGCATATTATTTTACTACTATTAAAACATAGACAATTTCACAGTTCTGCAAAGAGGAAAAGTCAAAACTTTTCAAGCAATTATCTCTGTTTCAAACAACTGGTACAAGTAATTAAAAATATAAGGGACATAAAAAGAACAATGACAAATTGTATTATGTCTGCGCAAACTCAGCAGAGATCATTTTTCGAACGTTTACCAAAGGCAGTGATGCATGAAGCATATTTGCGTTTGACTGCATTCGATGAAGAACCCATGTCATCCTTAAAAATGATTAAGATTGGACACAGTGGGAATAGCAAGTCGATTAGACCTGACTGGTGGGCGACCATAACTCAGTATTCGGAATGCATCAAAATGAGGACGAAGATTATGGTGATTAAATTTTTATGAGCAGGTAACGAGAGAAGTAATTATGATTAGAAGCACCTTATGCAGTACATATGAAGGTAAAATGTAATTTCGTTTGAAAATGAAGAATATTCAATTAAACAATTACTAGAAACTTCTGGGATAAAAACTTCTGTTCCTTTTCTGTTGCAGAATGCCCCATTTCAAGATCCGACCGCCCACACTGATTACTATCTTGCGGCGCTACGCTAGATATCGATGCACTTAGTGCAAGATTGCGTTCCTTCTCTTCATATCGTAATTTCAATTCCTGGAAACTTCTCTGCAATAATGACGTATACGATTTGCAAAACAAATATGAGGAAAAATAACTCCAGCTACAGCTGAGTAATTTGCTTTCTTGATTATGAAATGTTTAAAATTTTTAATAATTTTGAAAAGTATTTTTATCTTTAGACAAAAAGTATGATAGTAAGCGCTAGAAGCATCACCCGTACTAATATCAACAAACACATAAAATAAAAAGAAAAAAAAGAAAAAAAACGCACCAGAAGCTTTTCGCATTGCTCATCAACAGTGTGCAGCGCTTTTCGCAATTCCTGGTTTTTTTTATCTGAGTGCTTCAATTTTTCGATAAGCTCTCCAATTAATTTTTTTTCTTCTGTGTTTACATTGTTCATTACGGCACTTTCCTGAATCGTGAAATGTAGCTACTTTTTTGAAAGAATAAAAAATCATTTCATAAAACAAGGTTTCAAATATAAGGCCAGAAGCAATGCAGCTGTCCGCATATTCGTTATAATGCCTTTTATAGATACTGCAACTACGCAGGCCAAAGATGGCAAACATTTTGACCTCCTCAAACAAAATGATGAAGCCAACCGTTAAACCCTTTTTAATCAACTCAATGATTAACCCGTTGACATAAAACTCCGAAAAATACCTGCATATTTACAGATCTGGCAACTGAATCTTCATTACGTTTCGAATCTGCTTCCAAGTTAGTAACATTGGAATTATCGGACTGTTTAGGTGAAGCTGGTGATATGCATATACTGTGGGTCTGAAAAAACAATGCAATCAAGGAGAAAGAATGATGGCAAAATTAAGCAACAATTTACCTCAGAAAGACCGAGAACGGCATTCCCAAAATTATTCCCACCTCGTAACCCATTTTGATTGCCTTTGTTTGGAATGTTTTCCGTTCCACTTCTATCGTGGAGAACTTCACTCTTTCTCTAAAAAATATCACGTACACGTAAGAAGCAATTATTACGCAATAGGCATTTAGATTAGCTACGTCGAAGACCGGACAAAAGATTGCTAATAACTTTGACAGTATATGTCAAAACATTTATGTATAAAAACTGCATAAAACGTACAGTTGTTTCAGCTTGCTGGGAGGAAAGCAACTTATTGTGTTCACGCTTCAACTCATTGTAATCACATCTAAATAATTATATAGTGATGTCGTACGGAATGGACCAGAGTTAGCAAATAAAACGATCTAAATTTCTAAAGTCGTGACTCGCATGAAACAACGAGCACAGTCGTTCACTATAATTGCATCTCCTTAGAATATCTAAAGCTTATTACAGTTCACAGTAATATTTTTGGATGTTTTAGGGCTGAAAAGAAATACTGTACAACGTTAATTACAGCAAAAGCTCAAGTTCATACGTTAACAATAGCAGTGTTTTGAATAAAAGACAATTTTTTATTAAAAAATAAGACCAAAAACCTTAATTTTGCTTTCTGCTGTTTTATTTTACCGTTGTCTTCCAACAAAAACAAACGGGTTCGTTCGGCATCATTCAAGGAAGATTTTAATTCCGCTATTTCTGCCTTTAGTAAATCTATCTCGGCCTTGCCTTTATCAACATTCTAAAAGAAAGCATCCAAATCCGTTTTTTCTTTTTAAAACCAGACCAAATAAGGATAGCAGTATCGAGTACCTATAAAGGTTGAACAGAAAAACACGAAAGTTCTGACCCTCTAAAATAAGTAAAGATGAAAGTCTTAATAGTAACACCTCTGCTTTGATTTCCTGAGCTGCCTGCATATTGCGGAGCCATTCGCGGCGCTCTTCATCGAATTTGACTTGACTCACTTCCTGGTTCTTGCGCAATTCGACCATTTCACAAACCAGTGCTTCTTCACGAAGTCGATGCTAGGATCGAAATTTAGGCGTGGTTAGTGTTGTTTAAGTTCACAATGTTTACGAAATTCGAAAGTCTAATTGTGGACTAGACTAGCTCTACGAATAAATGCTTTAGCGTGCTCCATGAATCGCTGTATATACCAATGTCTTTCATACATGGATCTTAATTGAAGCTCATTATCAGAATTCTACCCTACATGCCTTTATAAAATTACTTCGGTGTAATACCATTTTGGATATCTTATAACATCTAAAAATTTTTTAAGCTTAATCATTTACCATATTCACTTGTGCCTCCAGAGAGGCGATTTTTTTTCTTGCTTCCAACCAATTCTTCTGCATTTGCACAAGCTTCCCACGTTCGGTTCGTTTTTTATCCTGATTATTCTCCTCCGTATCTGTTTTTACAACCGTAACTTGAAACTCCGCATCTTCCATGGCTCTCAATGTTTTCTTTCACTTGATATTCTAAATAAATTTAATTCAAAAATACCTCCATTCCACAACTTCTTTTTTGGAATCCTTAAATGATTCTAATAACCATAATGATCAGAAAGGGGAAAAGTAGTACTTATTGAAATTACTTGCCGTTACATTATCTGAGTGGTTTTTGTTCAACTGCTATTTACAAAAACAACATGTGAAACTTTCCCCATCATTTTTTCCTCTGTGATATCCAAAAGGCATCGTTGCAAATATAAGCCAACAAGGAATAATAACAAACCGAAGAAATCCACTTTCCCAACCAGTCATAGCGTTTGCACAACTTATGAGCAACAACGTTTAATAAATTTCGTGCATCTTGGGCTACTGTACAAGAAATGGCATGATAATTACATATTCTTTTGCATATTTTTATTCATCCTAGATCATTTATCAATCCAGTACAGCATTTTGCTAGTCATGATACAACTGCATTCCGTAAAAAAAGTCAGAAAAAAAATAACATCCCAGTTACTATATTACTGCGTTAAGCCCTTAGCCAATTGGAATTTATAAAGAATGCTTTTGAACTGAAAAAAAATTTAATGAAAAAGTTCAACCGGCCAGTATTTTTAGTAAATCAAAATGAACGGCATAAAAAGTGATAATACATTCTTTCAATGGAAAAATTTTTTTTTGACCGAGATTCGTATCAAATTTTCTAAAATTTACAATGGAACTTCGAAGAGCTTAAAACCTACGGAAAAAGTCCACCAACATTATTCCTTCCCCACCCCTACAATATTCACATCTTTCTTTTAGGTCAAAGTGTCAGTAAGCATTACGTACCGATATGGCTTTGAATAACAATATGGGAATAAATTCGAGATATTTTAACACCTAGATACAGATATATGTATATTTATCCTTCAGTCAGAATTCGGTACAAGTATGCACGATAAATTCTGAATGATTATACTGCGATAAATTTTGATCAGCATATTTGACGGACAAACAGAAAGAATAGATGATTTATCAGATGCTTTCATCTGATTTGTTGTGAAGTCCAAAAGCGATGAAATTCAGAGCTCTTACGGCTATGAATCCGAAAAATAATGCCACGACCGGTTGATTTTTTTGGACGATCATGCGCTGATCTTATCATTCAGGCACTTCCCTTCCAATCTTATATAGAAGCTTCGGGGTAAAAATGATTAACCCATCAAAATGACTACAACCAAGCACACTTCCAACTTACTTTAAATTCCACTTCCATAGGTCGAGGACATCGCCTTTTTGCACTCCTGACGCGATTTATTTTGGTACTCGTATCGTTGGGCAACAAATGCATTTCGATAAAGACCGTATGAAAAAAGAGATCTCGTCGAGATGAATTGTCGCGTGTCACTGGGCCCTCTCAATTTCCTTGATGTTTACTGTTTCATATTTTGACTTGATTTAAAAAATTCATTGAAATTCGATCCAAATAAATTTCTAAAATTGCTAGTATTCAAGGGTTATGCTACAATAGCCGAAAGAAAGATATGCTTATATGTTTTGGATGATCGAACAGGAGCTAAAAATGAAAAAAAGTACTTTAGTTGACCAAGAAATTTTAGTGATACATTTATGTAAGAATATCGAATTGTTTGAGATAGTATCGTTAACCAGTGTTGGAATAAAAAATAACAAAGAAGTTCAATGCATTTTCATAATTTTAATATTAGTAAGATATGTTTTCCATAAAGAGTGTACAGTTCTTTTTGAGATTTTATGAAAATTCAATTTATTACAAACCTAAATTTCTTTTCAATTTGTTTTTGAATAGTTGAATGTAGTGCCACAAACAGGGAATAAAAATATTGAGCTAAAATGTAAATGTACATTTACAGATGAAAATGAATTAGCGCTAATGGGCCTAAAAGTGCTAATTAACCCATAACAGGAGGAAGTCTTCAACGGATTCCATTCAGCCCAACGATCTGCAACAATTCAACCTTTTTCTTCCCATGAAGCTCTGCTTATTCATTGCAATTGAGGATAAATATACTTTCGTCTGTGGTTTACCTCTAAAAAACAGACATCTTTGCGTCATCTTTGCAATCTTGCAGTTTCTTGTTGCTCTTGCTTCACTTCTTCAGGTCACTTTCCCTTATTTACATTTTAAATTATTCAACTGTAGCACTGAATATACGAATGCTAAAAAAAGAAATTTGTCTGAATGATTTCGGCTTTTCTGCATGAGATTACTGTCAAAAATTTGAGGAAATTTGATTCGACATCCTATCGTACAACCAATTTGAGCAAGAAGAAAAAAATTCTCTATACTGTTGAAATCAACTTTATGAGTGGATAAAATGAAGCAACCTGATAGCGAACATTATGCAACCTTTTCCGACTTATTGATACATAATCGTATCCGCTACGCACTTGTATCAGTTCTAAGCAATTTTTGAAAGTTGACAATGAATGGAAGAATGCTTTTCAAATTGGTTGAAATCAAAAATCTACGAGATAGTTAAAAATTCCCTATTGTGGAAAGAAGAAATTTTTCTATTTTTTCTGAATTTTCGTTCAATAAATAATTTATCCTAAATAAAATAGATATCTAAATAATGTTCCTTGAGGGGAACTCTATCTACTGCTCACGTCGATACGCTTAAAATATGGTTCCTCCTCGAATTTGAGAATTTCCAAGAAATGATCAAATCAAACGATTTTTTTCCTGTAGAGTTGATAGGAGTATCCAACTTCTAAAAAAAGAAAAAATTAAGCGAATCGAATTAAATGCATAATCAATTTAGCATGTTTACTCGATACGAAAACACAGTACCATATTTGCATGCCAGTCGAATATTACAACAAGTTCAACTGCAGCTGAGATGGTAAATTCCTTCTTGCTTTCAGAAATAAATTATTTTCTTAAAAATATGTACACACTCAATCAGTGGATAAGCTGAACGGACTTCTTTGTCGGATTCCATTCTTAATTACCTTCAAAATTTATCAAAACCATATCCAATATGGAGCTATAGTCAGAATTGTTAGAATTCAAAATTTAATGAATAATTTAACTCCAGAAATATCTTTCTGCTTCTGATAAAATGAAAAATAAAATTTGCTTCTGAGCAATTTACTGGCTATTATAGTGTCGTCTTTCGTAATTTCCAGAAGGAGGCCACTTTCCAAGAACAAAACTCTCAGTAATTTCCTGCTACCATGATGCACCACTTGTGATTCTCTCCTCTTTTTTTTCTCTCTCTCTCCCTCTCTAAAATTTCGTTATATGAGATACATTCCAATTTCAGTTTTTAGCCTATGATATTATTATATTTGATTACGGCCTAATGCATCGCGTATTAGGAACCAGTGAGTGCATAGCAAATTATCTGGACGGTGGTTTTATGCGCTCCGTTTGGTGTTTGTCGCATACCAGTTCACTGTTTTTATTGCTAATCGCATTATTTTTCCTTACTAAACCAATCTGGTTACTTTGGCCAGGTAAGTGTTCAATTCCGCCTGTTACTATTATTCTTGTCCTTTCACCACTGATATGAAATCGTCCAAAATCTGTTCCGCCCCACAACAAACATTTAGCCTCCGTTAAAAGGATCACATTTGCAGTATGAAACTTGTGTACTTCTCTGGTCCACACAGTACTGAAACATCTTCGAAGAAATCTTTCAGCAC